GCAGGGTTTCACCTCAGCACGACAGCCTGAGCCTGTTCTCCATCCCGGTGCTCCGGTTCATCAGGTTCCCCTGCCAGACAACCGTGTCCCCCTGCAGCAGAGGTGCCTCCGACCTCACCACTGGCTCAGATCATTAACTTGTGGATAGCTTGTACCGGAGTCATTAATGACTATGACAGACCAGTCCTTGGGGGGTCTGTCCTCCCACAACCCCCTAGTCCCCCTCCTGTCAGGCTGCTTCCTTGTCATCTTCCCTGGCTCTTTGCACCAACCCCCTTCAGCCGGAGGAGCTCAGCAGCTTCCCTCCCCATCTTGGAGGAAACAAAGCTCATCAGTCAAGTCCCCCAGGTTAGCTGGGCAAGCTCTACCCCAGTAAATCCATGTTTTATCTTAATTCTTTCATGCAGAGCAGGAAACGCCACCTACCCCACACCACCCCGTCGTGGGAAGCATGTGTGAGAGGGGTCCCAGCATCGAGCACGGAGTTTCCTCTTTCTCAGGACGTGGGAGGGATGGGAGTGCCCCTGGAGCCCTGCTGGCTTCCCTGGGATCCCTTGCTGGAGGGGCTGTATGTAGGCTCCAGGGCTGGGCTCTCACCTCTCCCATGGGTCCATGCCTGCAGCCAGCCCCTCAGGGTGATGCCTGCTCCATAAAACACTTTTCCTAGCTCTTTGGCTGCAATGTATTGTGAGGACTTGGTCATAAGAGGAGTTTCCAGCGCAATCAGGAGAGAAAAGTATCTCACAAGTGTACCTGCTATGCCCTGCAAGGGCTCATACAGGACATGCATTAGCATTAAAATATAGGACATACCGTGCAGAATCCATATGCAGCATCCCACGAAGGCAGAAAGTGGCCATCCCCTGGTCTGCATGCCTCAGGCCTTCACGCAGGCAGAGCACTGGGAAGCTCAAAGGGAGGTGAGAGCAGCTCCGTCCGTCCGTCTGTCTGTCTGTCTGTCTGTCCGCCCCTCCCTGCTTCCCTGCCTCTCCTGCAGAGCTGGAGTCCCGCAGGTGCAACCCTGCTCCTGCTCCCTCCCATTTATAGGGATGGCAGAAGGAGGCAGGTTGCAGCCGCTGTCCCCTCCCGCCCCCAGTGCTTTCCCTCCAATGCTCCTGTCATCATGCCCTTCCTGCTGAGCTGCCCCCCTTCCCAAAAGCTGGATGTTCAAGTGGTGCGTGGGTTGGGGGTTAGCCTACAGGAACCCAGTCTCCCAGGGACCTGGGCACAGTCCAGTGCAGCTCTCTGGGCCACCAGCACCAGCTGGAGAAGCTGAGCCCAGAGCAGTGCATGACACTGCCCACAGTGGTATCCAGACACTCCAGAGGCCCCACAAGACCTGCTCCCCATGCAGGGGAGAGGGACATGGAGCAGTGGGTTGTGGTGGTGGGGGGGCAATGCCAGGTGGTGTCACCGTGCCTGTGAGGACACCATAGACATTGAAACCAGCAGCTGAGCCATGTTTCCCCTTGGCTCAAGGCTTCCCCCAGAGCAGAGGCAGGTTATAAAGCAGAGAGAGGTAGGGCTGGGAACAGGCCCTGGGATGTCAGCCGAGCTCTCCAGCACTCAGCTATAACTGAGAGCACTGGGGATTCCCATCCAGAGCCCAGCACGCCCCATCAGGGTTTTAAACCTGCACCTCAGCAAGGGCACAGCGGTATGGGGTGCTGGGATGGGGTGAATGGGCCAGGGAAACTCTTCTGCAAGGTGGGACCAGCCTCCCCCGAGGTCTGAAGCAGGAAAAGGTGCAGCCCAGGATCCCCTCCCCTGCTATGGGGATCCCCTGGGTCACTTCCCCCCTATGTCTCCCCTTCCCCTGGAGAAGCAATTCCCAGCTCCCCCCCTTGAAAGCTGCTGCCAGCTCCCCCACTAAGAGCATTATGCAAACTCCCACCACTGCTACATGGTTTTGTAATCAATTAAACGCTTTTTAACCAGAACTGCCCCCAGGCAACTCCTGCAAAGTGCTATTAGGGGTGTTAGGCAGTACACAGTGTCCCACCCCTCCACCAGGCATGTGGCAATGGCAGGGCACACGGGGCGACATCCCGACCCCAGCTAGGCAGCGCCGATGGGGGAAGTCCAGGGGAGGCCAAGTCACGGCTGATGGATCTCCATCCTGTAGACCCACGCATTACCCCCGGCACTGGGAACAGGGCATAGGTGGTAAATAAGGGGGGAGCACCACTTGCCCGGAACCGAGAACACCGGCACAGGAACGAAGCCAGCGGGAGGACGGTGCACTGGGTGCCCCTCAACGAGCACTGCAGATCACTGTGACTGCCCAGGCAGGGACCACCCCAGCAGCTGCCACACCTGGGCTGATGGAGGATTAGAGAGATGCAAACCCACAGTGGGAGAGTCATTGCTGGCTGTGCTGACAATGCCGTATCGCTCTGGAAAGCCACCCTGATGGGGAATATGTGCTGACACTGGAGAGAGTTGCTCCAGGTGGTTTGAGGTGTAAAACATGGTGGGAACCACAAGGGTTGTTGCAAATGCACTGCTTAGCATAGGGGAAAACAACTCAGATGAAGCAAGGTGCTTCCAGCACACCTCAGCCTCAGCCCTCCTGCAAGCTCCTGCCCATGTTGTGATGGGACTGGCACTATCCAGAGACCCTCATGCTTACACCTCCTGCCCAAATATCCCAGTTCCCTGATGCTCCTCCAGCAGTCACGGGGGTGACAAACCAAACTTGTCCTTCTGCTCTGGCATCGGAACACACTCCCAAGAAGGCCTGCAGCCACTCTGGGTCGTCCCTCATCTCAAGGATGGTGTCTTGTTCCCACCCTGGGAAAGGGCTTTTCATTGATCCTTCTGCTACACCTGAAACCAAGGTCCCAGCAAGCTGCTGGCTCCTGGAAGGATAAGCGGCACCTGCAGTTATCAAGCACCATAGCATTATCTGTGCATCAGAGCCCCTCAGGAGTCCACATCCAGGGGGCAAAACCATGAATCCCAGCATCCATGGGTTCTGCACCATCCAGCATGGCACAGCATGGCATGGCCCAGCACAGTGTCTTATCAGCCTTCCCGGAATTAATGGGCTGGTTGTTCCAGCCCTGCGGAGATGCTGGCATCTCCTACCAGCACTGGTCCTGCTTCCTATCAAGGGCATTTGGAGAGGGGTCAGGGGTCGGGGGGGGGGACCAGGTTATCCATCAACTCCATAGGTTCTGCATGATTTGGCATCCTACGGAGACAGGCTATAGCCTCCGGCACGGGTGAAGGGGAGGGGGACACTGGAAGGGACACTTGAGTCACAAGGGAGTTGAGACACATGCCCCATGATGCTGCTGGGTGTTGGCAGCAGGTTATAGCGAACAGCCTGAGAAACGATTTATGGGCTCAGAAAGGAATGGGACTTGGATCCAACCTCCCAAGCCCATCTGGACAGGGATCCATGACAGGCAAGCAGCCATGGTAAAAGTGGCAGCCACAATCCTCAAGGATGGCAGGCATGGAGAGCATGGGCAGCGTCAGGAGCTTGTCAGAGCTCAGCATCCCCAACGCCCAGGCAGGGCCCACCATACCAAAGGGAGCAATGTTCCCCCACCATGCCCCACTTCTTCCTCCCGGGCTGGGGTCCAGAGGTGCTCAGTGGGACCAGAGCATCTCTTCCTCCCGCCACGCCCCAACCATGACAACGGAAGGCATCCGTGCTGGCAGGGGACAGTGAGTGCCCTGGTCACCTTTTCATCCCAGCACTTCAGGACCTTTTCCTCCCTTTGTGACGCAGTTTGGCTCCACTACCCCGGCCTTGGCCCCTGGCCATGTCCTGGGGTCTGAAGTTATGGACTCAACAGCCGGAGAAAGCAGCCCAATGGGACGCGGTGTGGGAGGACTCTTGGCCCAGCTCCACGGCGTAGGCAGAGCATAAGGTTTTCTTTCCCAGCACCCCACCAGCCATTCAATGCGGGGACCCCTTCCGGCAGGCTTTGCCCTGCACCCCAGCTCCCTGACCAGGTGCTAAGGACCTTTCTTGGTGCCAACAGCTACAAGTCCCTCAGAGCCAGGCAGCATCCTACAGAGCAGAGGGGCAACACTGGAATGCAAGGGACATTCCAAACGGCAGCATCCTGAAAAGCTGCCTGGGCTCAGCCTCCCTCCCCAGCCCAGTCTCTCCCAGGCCTGCAAAATGGCAGACAGATGGGTGATACCAGCGTGCCTCTCCCCATTCTGTCCCCATGCAGCCCTGGAACAATATATCCCCAGGTTTAACATCCCAGAGCCCCATGTGCCCCCTCCCAGCCTTCCCCACACTGGGGTGGCACGGGCTGCCAGCAAGGAGCAGAGATCAGCCGAAAACAACCCCTGAGAAGCAACACGGCTATTTTGTTAATTATTTCAGTTTTCAATCTCCCGGCGAGGTGACTTGTTTAGGCTAATAATTGCTTCAGTTGGATTTTATCTGGCTAATTAATCAGTTAATAAATGACTTTGCTGCAGGGGGATAGATGTTGCCGCCGTCTCCTTAGCTGGGCACTGGAAAAAAACAGGGAAGGAGCACAGCCCACGGGATTTCCACAGCCGCATGGTGCACACGGGTGGCATGGGGCAGAGAACACCCAAGCAGGGACCCCCAGCCTGTCAGCGTACTGAGCCGTCCTCGGAGTGTTTGCAGCAGCCCCTGCCAGCGGGAGCAGCCCTCAGCTCATCCCTCTGCTGTGAAGCTTCTGGGACACAGTTTTCCTTGCTGGTACCTCTGCTAGATGGAGAAGCTGAAAACTGGGGAAGGCAGCTTGGAAAAAAAAGAAGTCGTCATCTTTGTCACAGAAAACATGGGATTTCCCTTTACTTCCCAGCCTGGTTAGCATGGGTGTGCTCCTGTCAGCAATACCACAGATGAGCTGGGGATTGCTGCTGTGCCAGGCTCTGGCTTCACTTGCCCACTGCACTGCAGGGCTCAGGAGCTCACTGGCCATGGGGCAGGGCTCTGATGTGGGACAGGGGCTCTTTACCTCTCCTGCTTCCTTCCCAAGAACCATCTCAAGCTCCACCTTGGCCCGCTCTGGATGTAAACCAGCTATGAAGCATCTCCTGAAAACCTCAGGCACTGCAGCCTCCTGGGTTGCAAATCTTTGGAGACCACCATCACCAAAGCACTGAGTGCCCTGGGTACAGCAGCACTGGGGTTCTAGGTCTCCTTTCTCTCACCCATTGGTCCTCAGGGTGGCTTTCATGGCTGAGCCAGCTCAGTCCCAGCTGTAAAAGCCCATCCCCACAGGGTCCTCTCTTCTTGGTCCCCTGGCAGTGCTGGTAGGGGGAGTCTCATCACAGGAGCCAGGTCTGATGCAGGGTGGTGGGAGGGCTCAGGCTCTGCAGAGAGGCTGAGGGAAGGGGCAGGGGCACCCTAGCCCACAGAGAGGCACTGGGGGTCCTGTGGGGATGGGCAGTGAAGGACGGGGGGTGTCAGGTTCAAGGGGAGCTGTACAGGGCTGCACCGCTGTGAGTTAGGAGCTGGCAGCAGACGGCTTGCCAGCCCACGTGGGTGCTGGCTGGGCGAGGAGCAGCGGTCAGGTCCTCCTCTTCCCTCGCCACTCTAAGGCCAGGCCAGCGCACGGGAACGCTGTCTGTAAGTCCCCGCGGAGCTGTGGGGAAAGGACAACCATCAAACAATGCCAAAGGGATGTCCTACCCCTGCTCCAACCTAAGAGGGGCCTGACCCCAGATAAGGGTCTCCCCTCCATCTGAAACTGCCCCAGGTGACATTCAGTGTAAGACCCAGCCATTCCCTTCCTGCTGACTGTCCAACCTCCTCCCTAGCTGCCTGCACCATGGCTGGCAAATGCAAAGTGGCACCCCCTCCCAGCACACTTCACCTTGGACAACAGCAGCTCCTGCACTGTGGTGTTGCTCAGGTCCAGGGGGATGGTTAGCCGCAGTGACAGAAAGAGATGAGATGCACCTAGGGATGAAAAACATGGCTCTGGTTATAGGCCTTAAATATTGGGCTTTGCCAAAGGATCTGGGGGCCTTTCCCCTGATCCTCTGGCAGAGACACAGAACCTCCTCCCAGGTTAGTCATGTCATGGACACCTTACACTGTCGGGAGAATAACGCTCCACCTGTAGAGCAAACCACTCATTGCACAGAGCACAGAGCTCAGCATTGTACTGAGAGCACCGCAAAAGAACGGGGCTCCAGGACCCCCTGGACTTGCCCCTGGAAGCCTAAAGCCACCAGCACTGAGGATGGTGATGCCCATGGGGCACTGCACTTACTGGTGTTGGATCTGGTGGTGGGGCAGACAGGCAGCATCGTTGGCAGGTCTGCAGAGGTGCTGAGGGCAACCTCTGTGGTCTGGGTTGAGCTGGCAGCAGGGGAAGAGGGCTCCGTGCCTGGGCAAAGTAATGTTAAGTTAGCGCAGGATGCAGAGAGGTGCAGGATGCTCCTACAGCTGGGGACAGACCGAGCCTAAATGGAGCCAGCTCCATGAAGCCACCCAAGTACATGCCCAGCATCCTCTTGGGGATTTGTCCTGACGATGCCCCTTGCTTTCCAGGTACCCCACGGCTGCACCTACCTGTAGCTGTACTGAGGGTCCCAGATACTGTTGATATGCCTGGAGTCGACCCCACAGGTGACTTGGAGTTGCCAGGGGTAGTCCTGGATGTGGGATTGCTGCTGCACGTGTCCCTGCTGGTAAAGGGGATGGCTGTGCTGTCTGCCAGAGTTGTCAAGGGCTCAGCTGAAGCGACTGTTGGTGCTGGTGTGGTGAGAGGAGGCATAGGGGATGGTGAGAAGCTGCTGGTCCCCAGCGATGTGCTGGACCTCTCCAGGGCAGAGGATTCAGAGCTGGAGGGAGGGAGAGTGTCTGCAGTGGTGGGGTCAGTGGTGGGCAGCAGTGCTGAGGTCTCCATAGGTGTCGGGGAGGTAGGGACACTCGTGGACACGGTTGCTGTCACATCTGTGATGGTAGTCGCTGTAAAGAGGTGGGAGAATGAGGTGTACAAGGGCTGCTGGTGAAAGGCTGAGACCACGGCTGTGCTGGGGATAGTGCAGCAGCACCACCACCATGAGCTCTGCAAGCTATGCATGAGCAATGGATCATCAGGAGTTGGATATTCACTGTCCTGCATGTGGATGCCCTGAACAGCAACATGATTATCAGCAAGGCAGGCCATGTAAATCCAAGCCCAACAAAGCAGGAACAAGGCATGGCCGGCGCTGGGCTCAGGACAGAAACTCCTGTAGGCGCCAGCACTGAGACCCGTTCCACCACCTTCACCCACCCCTGGAAGAAGTCAGACAAACCCGTCGGACGGGAAGAGCCGTGCAGGAACTGGTGACCGTGAGACAGGCTGGAACTGCAGCAGCAGCAGTTTACACAAAGCTCCCTGCTGCAGATAGTCAGGAACTGATAGCGCCGGGTGTAAATAATGGCAAGGGGGGAACCAGCCCCACAGAGGAACAAATCCCAGCTTGCAGATTAGGGCAAGTCGTTGGAGACGTGCAGCAACCCATGAAAGCTCTGCCGGGGCGGGGTGGTGGGGGGTGATGAAGGATGCAGGAGGGCCTTCCTCTCTGCCTGCACCAGCTCTGTACTGGGGCAGTGTGCTATCCCTGAGGAAGCACAGGCATTTGTAACCCTTTCCAAAAGGATGCACAAAACAGCCTGGCTGCCCCAGCCTCCGCCAAGGTATGCCTGCAACTTAGTCGCTTTGGGATGCCAGGGTGATTCCACCATGATCCCAGCATAAACCCAATGAGTCTGTGGCTCTGCTTGCATGGGATTGGGGAAACAAGCCATGAGCTTTCAGCCAACCCCACCAAAACTTCCCACAGCCATTCACTCCGTGAGCTGGTGCTGGCGCAAACTGGCTAAATAATAATGTGGAGAAGGGCAGTGTTTCGATCCCAACCCATGCTGGGTATCTGCACTGTAGATCCACATGCTCACATACAAAGGAGGAGCTGTAAGTCCACCTCTGTTTCCCATTTAGCAAACAACACTTGCAGTGTTTCACTCCCTCACCCCACAAGGCACCACACCACCCCAAGGAATGATGCTTCATGCTCACCACCCGCCCCATGGAGACCATTGCATCCCACTCAGCCCTTACCCAGTACGAGGTGCAGCACGGCGAGGCAGACAAGGCTCAGCAGCAGCAGGGGCAGGGGTGACCTGCTTTGCCCAGCCATGTCCGGGTGGGTGGGAGCCGATGGGACCCTGCAGGCACCAGTCCAAGAGCTCCCTATGTCCCCAGCACTGGGGTTTCCTGGTCTCCTTTGCCCAGTAGAGGAGGAGCATTCAGGTGGGCTCTTTCACTCCCTAGGTGTCGGCAGCATTGGGGGGGTTTCCACCCGACACGGATACTCCCAGGGAGCGACGTGATGCCAAGCAGACATCAGCTGCACAGCTGGACCCAGAGGAGCCACGAGCAGCAGGCAGGGCAGGCTGGCAGGGCCACCACTGCAGCCAGGGACCGCGCCGTCCTCGCCTCCCGAGGAGACAGCGACAACAGAAAAAAGCCCAGGGCAGCAGCCAGGCTGCCTGGGACCGTCCCTGTGCTCCACCAGGGGGGTGATGTTCCGTGGTGGCTCCTGACACCAACGCCCCTTGGGAGACAACAGCCTTCTGTGAGCGCGAGGAACTGGCTGAGAAAACAGGAGGCGCTCAGGAAGGGCGTGCTCCAGGCTGACGGTTTGTCCCCTGGGCTGTCTGTACAAGCATCACTTCCCTATGTCACAGCATGTCATGGCTGAAGCGCTTTGCTGATAGCTGGAGTCACTTCCTCCTTCGCAGGGTCACGGACAAGAGCAGTCGGAGGTGCCTGAAGGCACTGGGCCAGGGTACAGGCTCTCCTGGGAGGTACAGGCATGCTGGAGGACTGTCCGGGCACAGCCACCCTACTGCTGTACAGACACTGAGGCATCACTAGGGTGCAGTGGTACAGGCACTCTGCTAGGGTTCTGTCACACTGTGGCCATTAGGCCAGGGTACAAGTACTTGGTCAGGATTCAGTTGCTCTACCTTGGTACAGGGATTCCGGGGACACATGCACAGCTAGGGGCACCGGGGCAGGGTCCAGCCTCCCTGCCAGGTAGAGGTGCATGGAGAGGGGTGTCACCAGGATACAGCTGTAGCCCCGGGGTGAAGATTATACCCTGGGAGAGCCACCGGGATACGATCACACTGCTGGGACACAGGTGCCTACGATAGGGCACTGCCAGTGTACAGCTGTTTAGGGGGAATAGCCGGTGTACAGCCGCATTCCTGGGGTACAGCCGGGATACCGCCCCCCCGCCTAGCAGCTGGCACGCCAGAGCGAGACAGGGGACGCCGCGCCCCCGAAGCCACGCCCCCTTTCGGAGCCACGCCCATTCCCGGCACTTACGCCACGCACGGTCCTCCCACAGGCCACGCCCCTCCCCGCTTTTCCCGCCACTTCCCGCGGTAGGGGGCGGGTGGGCGCTGCCCCCGGGTGCTCCGTAGCTGTACTCACCCGCGGCGGAGCTGGGGGTCTCGGCGGAGGCGCCTGCAGTGGTCCCGGCCAGTTGGGTGGGGGTGCTCCCGGGGCCCCCCCTGCTGGTAACGGCGGTGGCCGTGGTGTCCGACGTGGTCCAATGGGGCTCATCCGAAGTGACTATCGGTGCTGATGCGGTGGGGAAAGAGGCGCTGCCGGTCCCTAGCGATGTGCTGCTAATCAGTGTGGCCACGGCTGGCTCTTGGCGGGTGGTGGTACCAAACGTGGTGTTCTTTTCAGCTCCAAACGATATGACAGCTGATGCCGTACCGGTCCCCACAGACATGACAATGGTCGAATCAGTACCATTGGATGTCATAGCTATGGGAGCTGGTGTCGGGGTGCTGGTGGTGAGACCTAGCCCTGCTTGGGTGGGCTCAGGTAGTACCGAGGTGCCATCGGGAGTGCTGAGGGCTGTGCTACCAGTCACCTGTGGTGTGCTGATGCTGGAGGCTGCTGGGCTGCTCCTCAGAGGCACAGGGCTGGCTGTGAAAGCACCCATGGTGGAGGTGTCAGGGCTGGAGGGAGGGAAGGTGACTGCAGTGACAGTAGGCATGGTGGATCGTGAGAAACTGCTGGTCCTCAGTGATGTGCTGGACCTCTCCAGGGTAGAGATTTTGGGGCTAGAGGGAGAAGTGGCTGCAGTGACAGTAGGCATGGTGTATGGTGAGAAACTGCTGGTCCTCAGTGATGTGCTGGACCTCTCCAGGGTAGAGGATTCAGAGCTGGAGGGAGGGAGAGTAGCTGCAGTGGTGGGGTCAGTGGTGGGCAGCAGTGCTGAGGTATCCATAGGTGTTGGGGAGGTAGGGACACTCGTGGACACGGTTGCTGTCACATCTGTGACGGTAGTCCCTGCAAAGAGGTGGGAGAATGAGGTGTACAAGGGCTGCTGGTGAAAGGCTGAGACCATGGCTGTGCTGGGGATAGTGCAGCAGCACCACCACCATGAGCTCTGCAAGCTATGCATGAGCAATGGATCATCAGGAGTTCGACATTCACTGTCCTGCATGTGGATGCCCTGAACAGCAACATGCTTGTCAGCAAGGCAGGCCATGTAAATCCAAGCCCAACAAAGCAGGAACAAGGCATGGCCGGTGCTGGGCTCAGGACAGAAACTCCTGTAGGCGCCAGCACAGAGACCCGTTCCACCACCTTCACCCACCCCTGGAAGAAGTCAGACAAACCCGTCGGACGGGAAGAGCCGTGCAGGAACTGGTGACCGTGAGACAGGCTGGAACTGCAGCAGCAGCAGTTTACACAAAGCTCCCTGCTGCAGATAGTCAGGAACTGATAGCGCCGGGTGTAAATAATGGCAAGGGGGGAAGCAGCCCCACAGAGGAACAAATCCCAGCTTGCAGCTTAGGGCAAGTCGTTCTCTGTGAGCGGGTGAAGGATGCAGTAGGAGAAGACCTACCCAAGCTTTGTGAGTTTGAGGCGTGCAGGAAGTACAAGCCTCAAGTTTATTCCCTGTGTTAGACTCAACACTGCTCTTGCTTTGTGTCAAGTGCAAACATCACAATGGCATTTGGAGTTTTCCAGGTCCACAACATCCTGGTGATGCTGCCATCCAGGCAGGGCCATTTTATGCTGCTGGGTACGTTGTATCAAAGGCAGTGAGCCCAGCAGTGACCAATGTTCAGAAAGGAAGTCAAACTGTGACCAAAGTCTTCTCTGCCTGGATGGAAACTCACGAGAGGCAAAGAAGTGAAACCAGGCTTGTTGCTTCTGTGTTGCAGAGCACACCCCTTTCATCCACTGGAAAGAGGCTGAGGTATCAGAAAGCAAACAGCACGCACAGTGTTCTACCTGTGTTGGTGAAGCCATGCCGAGGCTGCCACCACCACCCTGGGGAATGATGCTCCCATCTCAGCACCCACCCAATTGATAGCACCACATCCCACTCAGCCCTTACCCAGCGTGAGGTCCAGCACGGCAAGGCTCAACAGCAGCAGGGGCAGCCCTCCTCTCTGCCCAGCCATGTCCAGAGCCACCACCTCCACTCCCTAACTGGGGACAAAGTCCCTGTACCTGAGGATACAGGGCCAGTGAATGGTGCCAGCCGGGGAACTACGCTGCCGAGTGATGTTTGAAGGTGGCCGGAGCCGCTTCCTCATTCCAGCGGGCAGGGAGAGGAGGCACTGGCGGGCACTACCCCCCTTTACCGGGGGTAGGTGCTGCACTGATGTCCCCGGCGCACCCACCGGCGCGCAGCTGCCCCCGTGTGCTGGGAGGGCGGTACCAGATGATGGAGTGCCGCCCCTTATCCCGAATCCCTGCCCATTTCCACGCCTTACCCAACCCGCCCACCCCGCCCCCCGCGTTGTATAACACCCGGAGGACCGCGTGGCTGCCAGGTAAGGACCGGGTAGCAGCATACCCCGGGCTTACGGACCGGGATGGGTAAGGCATCGGGAGCGCAGTACGGTCCCGTTTCCCTTCGCAGCGACCGCGCGGAACCACGCTGCTCTCGCTGCCGGCCCGGGTACTCCTAAGGATGCGGCGCCGGCAACAGAAGCGAAAGGCCTCGGCCCCGGAGGAGGTTCCACGCCTGCCTCGGAGGAGGACGGAGAAAGAGGAGGAGGTGCAGGAAGCCCGGCGGCGGGCGGCCCCCTCCGTGCGAGAGTTCAAGTTCAACAAAAAGCGGGTGCGCCTCATCTCGCAGGGCTCGGATCTGAAGGATGATGGTCGGTGCATCCTCTACTGGATGTGCCGGGACCAGCGGCTGCAAGGTGTGAATCAGCGGATGGAGGAGCCTGGGAAGTGGAGCTCCCATGGGTGGCAAAATCCACAGTCCCTTCCCACAGTAGGCCTTGGAGCTGGTGCCCCTCTGCAGGGGAGACTGGTGGGATTCCTCTTGTGAAACCCCATCTCCATTCCCTCAGTAAAGCATCCTCCCTGACACTGCCCCATGTGCTTCCTCCCCAGATAACTGGGCTTTCCTCTATGCCCAGCGCCTGGCCCTCAAACAGGAGCTGCCTCTGCGTGTCTGCTTCTGCCTGGTGCCCAAATTCCTGGAGGCCACCATCCGCCACTATGGTTTCATGCTAAGGGGTCTGCAAGAAGTGGCCGAGGTATGATTGCTGCAGGGATGTCCATGCTGAGTGGGACAGGGCTCCTGGGGGAGGGGGAGGAAGACTCATCCCTTCAGTGGATGGTCATGGGATGTGGTCTGCAGGGGTGTGAACCATCCTATAGCCTTTTCCCCCTCACTGCAGGAGTGCGCAGAGCTGAACATTGCCTTCCACTTGCTGCGGGGCTATGCCAAGGACGTGCTGCCTGCGTTCGTGGTGGAGCATGGTGTTGGTGGGCTGGTGACGGACTTCAGCCCCCTCCGCCTCCCGTGTCAGTGGGTGCAGGAAGTCAGGGAGCGGCTGCCAGAGGATGTGCCATTTGCACAGGTGGGTGCCTGCACTCTGCGAGGGGAAAACTGGCTGGAGAAATGTGGGAGAAACTTGTCTCCTGCATTCTGTGCCTGCAGAGGTGAGCCGGAGTGACCTGAGCAGGGACTGTGTGTGTGTCATGTCTTTGGGACCATTTGCTTCTCCTGCTCACACCCTCCTCCATGGCTTTGCTTTCCAGGTTGATGCTCACAACATCGTGCCCTGCTGGGTTGCCTCCTCCAAACAGGAGTACAGCGCCTATACCATCCGGAGAAAGATCCAGGCTCAGCTCCCCGAGTTCCTCACGGAGTTCCCCCCTGTTGTTCGTCACCCATATTCCCCCTCCTGCCCAGCAGAGGTACCAGCAGCAGACACTTCCACACTCAAAGCCAGTCCTAGAGGGTTTTACAGCTGCTTTGTGATCTTGGGAGAGGATGGCAGGGAATGGGGACAGTGACCTGCCTGAAGTGTGCAGGTGGTGTGGAGATGGCAGTGCCCTTGGGGAGGTTGGTTCGCATCTCATTCATTCAGGGCAGGTCTAGTTAAGAGGAGGAGGCTGGCATGAGCTTGGGACTTGCTGGCTGGGGGCACCCAGGGGACATAAGGCTCAGGGCAGCCCTGGCTGAAGAGCATCTGTAAATGCACTCATGCTGCTTGGTCACTGCGCAGCCCATTGCTTGGGAGGCCTGTTATTCCAGCTTGGAGGTGGACCGTACAGTGAAGGAGGTGGAGTGGGCAACCCCCGGGACAGCAGCGGGGCTGGCTGTGCTGCAGTCCTTCATCAGAGAGCGACTGAAATACTTCGGCTCCCACCGGAATGACCCCAA